ACACATGCCGACACCAAACTCCCACAAGCATGTTGGTATTGAGTGGCCAGCAATATGGTCGCACTGATTGACACACTGCATATAGCAGAGCATACTAACACTAGGACTTCTTCAACTGAACTTTGCACTCAATTGCAGTCAGGTACATTCAGCGGTGGCTGTAATTGCGGTCAGATGCATCCAGGCATGGCTGTAATTGTGGTCAGATACATCCAGTAAAGTCCTAGTGTGAGTATGCTCTGTCTCTTCGGTTTGCAGCCTGTAGCTTGGGGGCATGATCATGGAAAAGCGGCGCATAGCTTCATAAAGGGACCGTTCTGTGTCCTTCATAAGGGCCTCTGATTTCCTTCTCACTGCATCTGGAGCTGGTCATGACCCTGACATTGAAAATGCTCACTGAGTGCTGTATTTGAGGCATCTTTCTGTCTAGATACAGCCATAATGACCGTACGTTGTATTCGGGGGAAGAAGGTAGCTGTCGCATACGCTTCAGGTGCTACCTTTTTTTTTTCCCTTTTTTTCTTTTCGGGCTCAAAAACAGTCTGAAGATCTGACTCCTTGAAAGTGCTCTGCAGCGCTGGTGAAAAAAAAGGAAAAACAAAACGAAAAATTCAAAAAAAAAAGAAAGAAAGTGCACTGGTACCTCCAGAAGGCCGTCCCCTGATTGAGATGCCCTCGATGTCTGGGCGTCAGCTGGCTCCCCACCCCAACCCTCACCTGAGTCACCTTAAAAAAAAAAAAAAAAAAAAAAAAAAATGCCGGACCCTGCCGGTACGCCCCACAGATCTGGGGTTCGAGCCCTTGCATGTTACACAACCCTGCTCCTCTGCTGTTTGCTGTGGTTTGTCGACCAACAAGCTTTGCGAAACATTTTGCTGACCCTAACCTGACTTTTAACCTTCAAAAAAACGAAAAGAAAGTGTGCGGTACCCCACAGATCAGGGGTTCGAGCCCTTAGGATGTTGCACAACCCTGCTCCTCTGCTGTGGTGTAATGACCAAAGATTTGCAAAACCCACTGCTGGTTACATGCCTCCAGTATGCCCCCGGTCTCTTATATCATTCTTTCTTTTCTTTCTTTTCTTTTCATTATTTTCTTTTCTTTCTACATAAAATCCAGGCTGTAGTAGAGGGCGGTGGCCAGGCGTCAGGAGGTGCCCTTTGTACTACTCATCCATTGGGAGGGATCAGATGGATTGCTAGGACCCAGGGCCCAGGGGAAGTCGCCTCAGGATGGCGCCATGGTACCATGGGACCATGGGACCTATGATGCTAATGCTCATCAGATTGCAAGTCGTGATCTGCTACAACGCTTACCGGACTAACCCGAACGTCTTTTTTTTGTGCAGACACTACCGTCCCATAACTCTAATGCTAAGGGCGACCTGGGCACAGGTGGCGTCCGTGTATATTACATGCAGTCATCCCCCATCGGTCCCGCATCCCGCAGACTCTATGGGCAGCGAACTGCCATTCCACTATGATGCGATATCCCGCCCCCCTCCGCTAGCCTAAGCATGATGCCTTCCTAACCCAGGCTCCCCAAAAATCCACAGTCCCGACTAATTCCGCCAATGAGAATTCCCACGGACTCCAACCTGGATGTGAAGCACCACCCGCAGGCGTCGTGAGATACCTGTGGGATGAGAAGTACCCGGTACCTACTCCATACTAACACCCAGTGTGTGCGTAGGATTATCCCCCCCCCCACCCCCGAGATGGGCCCTACCGTAATGTAAGTTTGCTCTGTGTGGACTCTCGTATGGGTGCCATAGTGGCGGCAAACATGCTAGCTGTACCCAGGCTCGACCATGGCACCCCCACGGACTAGTACTTACCGGCGAGACTGACAGATCGGAGGGTCCAAGTGGCCACGCAGAGGTATCGGCGCTTTCAACAGTTTTGGCAGTTATGTGGGTTATCGACAGTCTAGGCCGTAACCCCTCCCTTTTTAATCTACCCTAACCTATCCCTCCCCCCCGCCCTCCCCCCCCGGCCCATGGTGGAGCCAAGTTAAGACCCTGATCCTCAGACCCCCCTAAGACCAAGCACTCAAGCAACCCTCTCTCCTATGGCCCCATCCAGCAGCATACTACAACCATGGACCTAGACCCCTTGGGCGGTGCGCAGGCAGTGTCTGTATAAATCTTTCTTACCATGCGTTGTCCCAACGGGGTTGTGTGAATGGCTTGTGCGTTATGAAAGCGCGTACCGGTGTATATGCGTGAGGCGACGGACGGTTGAACCCGCAACCTCATACCACAAAAAGCACATTTCCAACCGGTGCTCTAACCACTGAGCCAACGGCCATTCTCCTCCCCTCTTTTTTTTCCACCCCCCTACGATAACTCCTTTTTTCATTTGTTATGTTTTTTTTAATCCCCAGTTGTTGTAGATTCCGGACACACGCTGCTTGCCGTCTTAGTCAGCCATTGGTTACCCTGCCAATTATGAGGCTACCTCCCAACCCACCCTCTCGTCAATACTCCTAGCGCACCCCCTATCCCCACTATCCTACCTCAGTGTAAAATTGTAAATCACTAATAAGGTTATCACCCTACCATCTTGGAGGCCGACTTGAACCGAATAGCAGGTATAGGTACCAAGGCTGGACCGGCCACCCAGCCTCAGTCGAAGCCGAATCGTCATTATAGCTGTATTTGGCACAACTTTCAGCCCAGATGCGGGGATAATTGACGGCAGGCTATAATGACCGGGCGTTCTATTCGTGTGAAGACAGTAGAGCCTGGCGTGCGAAGTTCCCGTACGACGAGCGTCAGTCGAAGCCGAGTCGGACGAGCCTCGTCGTACGGGAACTTCGCACGCCAGGCTCTACTGTCTTCACACGAATAGAACGCCCGGTCATTATAGCTGTATTTGGCACAACTTTCAGCCCAGATGCGGTGATAATTACCGGGCGTTCTATTCCGATGAAGACGGTAGTGTCCTTTCTTACTGACCCCCTTTTGTGGCCACAGGTTCAATCCGAACGGAGTCGCAGGTGTAGGCAGCTTAGGCAGGCAGGCTAGCACCCACGGACAAGTCCGGACGGTCCTAGCTTACCCAAGGCTACGCTACGCGGATCCCGGACAAGCCGCAGCGACTTGTATCCCTACCCAGCCCTGGACCTGTTCCTACTGCGGCGACAGAGTCTTTATAGCTGTATTTGGGGCAACTTTCAGTCCAGGTGCAGCGACTTATATCCCTACCCAGCCCTGGACCTGTTTCTACTGAAACATGTGGTAGACCCCCCTGACCCCTGACCTCCTCTTCCCCAGCCTGGTATTGTAGCTGTATATATGTGTGTGCCCGGACGAAGTGTGTGAGTATATCTTAAGCTGTTTTTTTTTTTTTGTGTGTGTGTGTGTGTGCATGCTGTGTGTGAGTAAATGTGTGTGCCCGTAGGCTGTGTGTATGTTTGTAAGCTGTGATTTTTTTATTTTTTTTTCGTGCATGGACTTGATTTCCTAGCAGACACTGCTCCCCGCCCAATCGAGCTTCTGCGAAGTGAGTACTGCTGATAGGTGTTCTTATCACTCTCACCAGTACATAATAGTCCACTCTTTTTTTTTTTTTTTTTTTTTTTTTTTCTGTTTCAAGTGGCTTTGACTTTCCATAACTAATCACTTTGTCCCACATGGTTCAAGATGCAGTCCCAAATCGTTTTTTTGAGGGTCACAGAATAAGCGTGTGTACCAACGGGCCCGCAGGGGGTTCCAGATGCCCGTTCTTTCATGAGTGTACCACTCCACTACTAGCCGGGATGCCCGGGTCACCCTGTTTTCCTGGGCGGCCCTGCCGTGCAAGGACCAGCGAAGGTCCCAGCAAAAAAAAAAACAAAAAAAAAAACAAAAAAAAACCTGTGTTATGAAGTCTTTTTCAATTTTTCAATTTTTATTTTTTTTTGGCCCGGCCAGGCAAGTGGGTCCCGGGCCCCTCTGGTAGCCCAGTGTACCACAAATTAAGTGGGTTTAGTACCAAAATGGGCCCATCTAAGTTATGGCAAGTGGTCCCGGTCCCCACTGGTAGCCCACTGTACCACAAATTAAGTGGGTTCAGTACCAAAAGTCCCCAGCTAAGCTATGGTACAGTGGTACTGTAATGGAACCGTGGGAAGTCGGGAATGCAGTTCTGAGTTCGAATAATTGAATATAATTCTGAATTTCTGAATTTCCTGGGGCCGAGCAGTTCGACTTTGAGAACTTCGACTATGATATCTCAAGGTCGTTGGTCCTTTTTTTTTTTCTTTTTTTTTTTTAATTTTCTTTTAAAAAAAAGAAAAACCTTAAAAAAGAAAGTGTGTGTAATGACTGTCATGTCTGTCATACACAGAACCATGATCAAATGCAGTGTTTCTGTGCACAGAAACATGATCAAGTGCACTGTATCTGATCAAGTGCACTTTATCAGAAAGTGTTCTGACTCCTGAGCAGTTTAATATCTGATGATTCTGATCCAAAAAGAAAAAGAAAAAAAAAAGAAAAACAACGAAAAAAGATTGTGCCTTGATGCCATCTGTATGCGCGCACTTTTTTTTAATTAATTATTTTTATTTTTTTTCTTTCACAAACGTGTTTGTGTTTTGCCAACGCAGATATGCAGCACGGAGGGACGGAGAGAACCATCTGCTCAACAGAGGAGACCCAAGAGCTAATCCAGACCTCTACCGTCTTCACAGTATATAACGCCAGGTCATTATCGCTGCATCTGGACTGAAAAGTGCCCCAAATACAGCTATAATGACCAGACGTTCTATTTGGGTGAAGACGGTAGGATGGAGCTGGTCCAGACCCTAGGATGGGTGGGAAATAAAGGGCTTGCTTTGCTTCTTCAGATCAGTATACCAGTCTCTCAGATGACGGCAATTGCGAAAAAGCTGTTCCATCGAGTCCCAAGTCCCGACCGTGGGAATAACAAAACACAGTACAAGAAAAGGGTTAACCAACTTAACCGTTAATGGCATCGGACCGTGGAAATAACTCAATGCTGGGAGTGGGACTGCCAGCGCAGGTGCGGTTCTATACCAGGCCCTGTACCTGGTCCGGCATTCTGTCCGGTGTCTCTTCCTGTCCTAGCTTCGGCTTCGGGTATTGCTTTCGGTCCTCTACTTCTGCTGCTGTATTTGGAAGGTTTAATGCTGCGAGGACTGGCACTGCAGGTGATTGTTCTATACCAGGCCCTGTACCTGGTCCGACATTCTGTCCGGGGTCTCTTCCTGGTCTTGGCTTCGGGTACTACTTTCGGTCCTCTACTTCTGCTACAATATTTGCAAGGGTCGATGCTGGGAGGACGGGTATTGCAGGTGTTGTTCTATACCAGGCCCTGTATCTGGTCCGGCATTTTGTCCGGGGTCTCTTCCTGGTCTTGGCTTCCGGTACCGCTTCCTGTCCACTACTGCTGCTACCATGTTTGCATACCAGAGACCATTTCTTTTCTCGACGCTCTTTTTCCGGGTTCCGCTCCTGGTCCCATTTACTGGTACCATTCATTGGTGCCATTCCGTGTTCCATTTGGTGGTACCATTCACTGACACCGCTTCTGGTCCCATTTATTGGTACCATTCACTGGTACCGCTCCTGGAACTGGTCTGGGTTACCTCTCCTGGGGACCTGTTTCTGGGCTGAAATGCCTGCCAGGTGCACTATTCGGAAAGGAGCAAGAGAGAGAAGAATTTGAAGATCAGCTGCAGTGCCGAAGGTGGTGATGTAGTACAAGGAGCATGAACCCCGGGGGCGGACTCGATGGCGTGCGAACCTGGTCAGCCAATGTGAGCTTGGTACAGTTGCATGATCCTGGTCAGAGTTCAAATAAGCCAGCCAGGTCGGTGGTACTTCCGCCCGTCTCGGTTTTTGGCATTTTTTTTGCAGCAGCACTAAGCGTAGGCTCGGTAAACAGGCAGAGTTGTTCAGACTTGCCGGTTTTTGTCGTGTTAAGTGTGTATTCTCAGGTAAAAAAAAAGGCAGAAAATGCATGTATCGGGTCCACATGCAGGTCCACATTCGGCAAGCTGCTCGGCCGCTGTGCTTTCAATTTGCCAGCTGTGTCGGTTAACTGCACCAGGATTTACCAGTTCGTACCAGCTTGAACCAGAGGGGTACAGTTCGTCAGAATCTCGGCTTTGTTCCTGCCAGCTTGCATTTGGTCCTGCATGCATGTGGACCTACATGTGGACCTGATACATGTGTTTTCTGCTTGTTTACCGGCGGTAAATTGCGGAAGTAACTGCTCTGCTCTGCGGTTCACTGTGCCGGGCTCTACCTGGGGTAGCACCAGCTTGAACTGGAGGGGTGCAGTTCGTTCCTGGCAGCTTGTTATTGGTCCTGCATGTGGACACCCGTTTGGACCTGGTACATGTGTTCCTGCCAGCTTTTGGTCGGTCCTGCATCAGAGGGGTTTCAGTTTGAGCCAGATGGTACAATTTGTCAGCTGTGTGTTCCTACCAGCTTTTCTTGCTGGTCCTGCATGTGGACTTGCATGTGGACCTGATACGTGTGCTTATCCAGCTTCTTGTTGGTTCTGCATGTGTACCTATATCAGGACCTCATACATGTGTTTTGCTTCCGGTCAGAGCCAGAGCGATACGGTTTGCGAGCTGTGTTCCTGCCAGCTTGTTCTTGTTCCTGCATGTGGACCTATGTGTGGACCCGATACATCTGTTCCTGCCTGTTTTCCGGAGGCAGATCACTCTGGTAATTGCTGTGTAGGTGAATGTGTTTACTACCTGCACTTAGCTGAGTTATCTCTGGATACATTGAATCTGTCCTCCTTTCTGTCATATGCTAATAATATGAAAGGACAATCAAGGGTTTGGCAATGGTGGGTGGGCTATGCTTGTGTGCCAGTCGGCCAGACAAACTATCTACCACCTTTCCCTGCGTGGAACAACTCGGCTCATCGAACCTGAACGGAATGTAGACCGGGTTCATGGTGTTGTCAGTATAGCAGAGTTGTACTGGGTGCAATCTCGGGTCAGATGAATGGAGGACCGTGTGTTCTAGCTGCAGGAAGAGAAGACACTGACCTGAACGGAATGTTGACCAGGTTCGTGCTGTTGTAGTTGGAACGGAAGAGATTAGCAGGAAGCTGAACGGAATGTTGACCAGGTTCATGCTGTTGTAGTTGGAAGGGAAGAGATTAGCAGGAACCTGAACGGAATGTTGACCAGGTTCATGCTGTTGTAGTTGGAAGGGAAGCGATTAGCAGGAACCTGAACGGAATGTTGACCAGGTGCATGGTGTGTTATGTGGAAGAAAAGACAATGGCAGGAAGCGGAACGGAATATGGACCAGGTTCATGCTGTTCGATTCAGAAGGGAAGACGTTGGAGGAACCTGAACGGAATGCACAGAGCAGATTCATCGTGTACTATTCAGAAGAGAAGACACTAGGCGGAATCTGAACGGGATGTAGACCAGGTTCATGGTGTACTCTACTCGGAAGAGAAGACAATAGGAGGAACCTGGACGGAATGTAGACCAGGTGCATGGTGTGGTATGTGGAAGAGAAGACAATGGCAGGAAGATGAACGGAATTGTGGACCAGGTTCATGCTGTTCGATTCAGAAGGGAAGACATTGGGGGAACCTGAACGGAATGTAGACCAGGTTCACGGTGTACTACTCGGAAGGGAAGACAATAGCAGGAACCTAAACGGAATGTAGACCAGGTTCACGTCTGTCTAGCGTTGTTACAGTCCACTGGGTTGGGATGTGACCAAACCAGCAAATCCTAAAGGGGGGGGGAGGGGGGGGCGGCAGTGGGCTCTGTCGTCATCTGTTCAGAGAGAGGAGGACCTTTTCGTTTGCATAGGGCCCGGCGGTTGCAACATTTTGAATGCATGTGGACTCAAATTTGTCCAGATGCATTCTAAATGTTGGCGGACGGCGAGCAGTGCAACTCTTGGCCCATAGACGCTGCTGCTGCTGCTGCTGCTGCTGCTGCTGATCAGAGTCACAACTAGTCTCTCTACTGTGCCGCCTCCAGAGCGGTGGCTTTCCACTACAGGAAATTTCTTTCCACTTTTGGAAATTTCTTTCTATTTCCGGATATTCTTTGTTATTGTTGTCGTCAGCTAGTGCGCAGGTGGGGGACCTGACCGGAATGTGGCAATCCTAAAGGGGCAGGCTTTTTTTTTTTTTTTTCCTTTACCTGTCATCTGCTCCGCTCAGGGCTTACTTACACTGGGGCTTTCCTGCATATACATCTGGCGATAATTATGAGCAGGCCTCGACGTATCTGGCCACAGTTACGTCCAGAAGGAAGTCCAAAAAGTGTCTGGAGTGAACATTCCCGCGTACAGTAGGCCCTCCACTCGTTGGTGTATCATGCTCTCACCTCTCCAACTGTATTCACCCGATTAGAACGCCCCTGGTCATTATAGCTGTATTTTTTGGGGCGATTTTCAGTCCAGATGCACAGCCATAATGACCAGGCGTTCTATTAGGTTGAAGACGGTTGTCAGGTTGTCTTATCTAGTGTGCCTTCTGTTTGGATGGTGACTTTCCATTTCTGGAAATTGTGTGTTATTTCAGTCTTTAGTTTGTGCTGCAGGAGAATACCTTTCTCGGCCTTTTGGCTAAAAATAGATCAAGTGTAGTATCTGTTCTGATCAGTTTAATATCTGATCCAAAAAAAAGAAAAAAAAAGAAAAAAGTTTGTGCTGCAGGAGCGGAGAGAGGAAGGGAGGAGAACCTCTTACAATTTGCTGGATGGGGGCTTTCCACTTTTGGAATTTCTGTCGATCTGTGATCAATTAGGAAGGCCAGCGAACGTTTCTAACCCCAAACTGCAAGAGGGCTAACAAAAAAAAAAAAAAAAAAAAAAAAAAAAAAAAAAAAAAAAAAAAAAAAAACAGGAAAGAAGAAAAAAAAGGAACAAAGGAAAAATATCAGACAAAGGAAAAAGAAGGAAGAAACAAAAAAAATGCTTCCGTTGGCCTGAGGTTAGTGCACTAGCGAGCCTTATTTCGTCCCGACCCGAGAGTGAGTTGTTCTCAAGGTCCATACGCGTCTATTTCGCCCTCCAGACTCGGGGGAAGCAGCTCCCCATGGTTCGAGAAATGCCTTGGTCCTACCGAAGGGGGTCAAGAGCTACTGAGCGCCCTTTATTGATATCACAGAAAATGACAAAAGTGAAAAAATGATGCACACAGCCAAATCATCGAAAAAAAGGAAACGGAAAAAAGAAAGAAAAGAAAAAGAAAAAAGAAAAAGGAAAAACGAAAAAGGAAAAAGGGAAAAAGGACGGAAGAAAAAAAGGAGGAAAAGAGGAAAAAGGGTTCTCATTCCTGCGAGGCCAGCCGTCCCATCTTCAGCCGTTCGCCTGTCCAGCCATCGCTCAAACATGTGTGTGTGTGTGTGTGTGTGTGTGTGTGTGTGTGTGTGTGTGTGTGTGTGTGTGTGTGTGTGTGCCGCGGGGAGGGGATGGAGGACCCCTCCCCCAATCAATCAATCAATCAATCAATCAACCAATCAATTAATCAATCAATCAACCAACTAATCAAGCAATCTATCAATCAATAAAAAAAAAAAATCTAATTTTTTTTTCACACGCCAAAAAGTTGCAAAACAACCCCCCCCCCCTATTTATTTATTTTTTAGTTTTTTTTGCTCAAGGTGGTGGGGTCGGGGTTCCGGAACCCCAATCCGCAACCCCCTTCCCCAACCCCCTCTTCCCTCGGCCGCAGCGGACCGCCGAAGACCACGGCCGCTGCAGGGGATTCATAGTCTACAAAACCCTGGGCTTAGAAAAAAAAACGGCCAAACCGGGGCGAACCGGCCTGGTCGACCGATCCAGTTCCGGTTGGCGGAGGGCCCCCTGATGCTATCGGGTTTCCAGCACTGCAACAGCGACCTTTTACTATTGCATTATGTGACCAAGGTTTTCCAATAACTAGTTTAGAGTTTAAATGAATCATAGTTACTTTATATATAGT